AGATAATGGGTGGATGGATGCAAAGCAATGAAAAGAAATCTCATGTTTTAATCAGATTTGTCTTTTAGTCTAATGATTACATTTTGGACTTTTGCTTTTGATATTAACACATAATTCCCTTAAGTGAGGTCTTGAATGTAGAATTTTTACTTGTGTGATGTTCATGTAAACACTTCTTTCACTGCAGCTCATTCACATTTTATGCAACTTTGGACTTCTATTTTAAATGTCAGATAAAAAAAGGGCTCCTTCCTGAGCTACATTTTATGGTTACCCTATTAATCTCCGCAAAACGAAAGAAATTACTCACCCAACAGTACGTAGAGCAGCTCCAAATCCATCAGCTTGCACACGCAAGTTAACAATCGACAACGAAAATATGTGATTGAAAAAAGGGACATTTTAACATCTATGCGTGGCTACCTAAATACTTCCACCACTAACAAGTTAGATTTGAACAGCTGAAGCTAAAATAAAACTAAGAGGTATGTGTGTGTCAGAAACAACTTGCTGCTGATTGAACTTAAGGTTCTGTTTGGATTAGAGCAGGGGTGTCCAATCCTGGTCCTCGAGGGCCGCAATCCTGCATGTTTTAGATGTTTCCAACACACCTGATTCAAATGATCAGCTCATCATCAAGCTCTGCAGAAGCCTGATAACGATCCTGATCATTTGAATCAGGTGTGTTGGAAGAAGGAAACATCTAAAACATGCAGGATTGCGGCCCTCGAGGACCAGAGTTCGACACCCCTGGATTAGAGGGATGTTTTCCCCCTACTGGCAACCACATATGAAATGAACAGTGATGGAAAGTAACTACAGCTTTACTTGCATTGCAGATTTAGTGCAATAATACAGCTTCAATAATCAACAATTAAATGATGACTACAATCAGGTTTACCAGCTTCAGCATTACAGTGCTCAACACGATGCATCAATAATAAAAATAACACACATTCTTCTGAGATATGTTATTCTGCTTGAGTGGTTTTACTACTTTAAGAACATTTTGATGCCAATACTTTAGTACGTTTACTTAAGTATACTTTTAAATGCTTGGCTTTTACCTGTTGAAGTATTTCTGCGCTCTGGTTTCAGTATTTATCCGACTACTTCTCCCACCTGTTGCTTATTCTTTGCATTTTTAATGATGCTTGTTGCTACTTGCTCCCATCTTCCTCTGAGAAAATCTTCAAAGAAAAAGGCAGCGACTCCAATCTATTGTCTAAATCAGTAAACATCTTCAGTCTGATGATATAAAAATCTGTTTTTTTATAGACACACAACACTTTTCCCTCAAGTTCAAACATGCAGATGTGGGGAAAAGGGAACCAGCGGGATAAAGAATCTGGCTCGATACCAATCCTTCTCCAGAATCACAGACTCCACGTTTGAGAAAATGTGGCTTTTAATGAGGACGCATTCTCACAGATCACTGAATGGTGAAACTTTCCCGAGTTATCGTACAAAATTTATCAAACATACACGTTGCTCAAGCCTTTAGGAGTGACAAAAGAAGAAAACAAAAGGGGGGGAGTTTAACTTGGTAAAACATAAAAGCTTCACTAAAACGCGCTTATTTAGGCACAACATTACAATTTACAGGTGAAATAAATATACAATGTTTTGCATGTTTTCCTCTCTTTACCTTAAAAACCGCCGTCTCAATGCACAGATGTGAAAGTTTTTCTTTTTGTTTCTGTTCTAGTGCTTTAAAAAGTAAATAGGTCCGGGTTTTTTCCTCAGATAATGACGCTGAAACTGCCTCCTAAACCCAGACAGACCGTGATTTTAACTTTAACTGTTGGGGGAAAGTGCTGAAACTGTCAACCAGCAGGATCCAACACCAGACATCTGACTTCTTCACCGCCGCCCGAACATCCGGGTGTTTGTGCCGTCGTTGCAGACATCAGCGGCGCCTGAAGGCTCTGGAGATTCTCCAGGCGTTGGGCTCCTCGTATCGGTTGTACAGCGGCTCCAGGCGCTGCTGCTTCTTCTGCTTGCTGAGGCGCGTCGGGTCGGACACCTTGAAGAAGGCCGGCGCGAACTCCACCAGCCAGCGAGGGTCGATGGTGGTCACCTCCCGCATGTACTCTTTAGTGGTCAGCACCAGCTCGTGGTACACGACCCTGTCAGGGAGAAACGCAACGGGTTAGCTGCTGAACGCTTTGAGAACGTTTAGTTTAAACGCGTGGAGCTGCGGCGCTGTCGTACCACTCAGGCTGCCGGTTGAACAGAGCGCTGGACGGGTGGATGTACACCACCTGCTGGTCTATCAGGGTTCTGTAGCCCTCCTGAGGATCCTTTTTGGCTGCGTTCCTGAAGAAACCGCTGCAGATGGCTTTCTGGACTCGCACCGTGGCTTTACCGCAAGACACCACGTCCAGCTTGTGCCTGAGGAGAGAAGAGAGACGTTCACGTGCTGTCGTTTATCTAACGTGGTTCTGCCTTCTCATATCCAACGCCGTCTCACCTGTCCATGATCCCCAGCATCTGCTTGCGGATGTCCTGAGCTCTGCGCAGCGAGCGAGCCTGGATGAAGTTCTCGTAGCACCAGGGGTTGGAGAACTTGTTGTTCTTCCAGGAGTTGTAGACGGCCAGCAGGGTCAGGTGGTCTCCCTCCGGCTGGTGGAACTTCGCCTTCTTCTGGTCGGCCAAGGCCTGCTTGTCCTTTAAAACGAGAAGAAATTATTGAATGAGAAGAACCAAAACGCTGTCCGATTGGATCTGTCGGGGCTCTGGTATTGTGTGGATCTGCTCTTGGAGAAATTAATTTAGAAACTTCCACCAACAAAGACTATTTAACTCTCAGATCAGCTTCAATCACAGTTTAGCCAAAGAAGATTTAAAATGAGTGAATCCAGATTTAATATGAAGCAAAGTTCTGTTGTACAATCAAAACTATTCTTTAGTTAATAATTCAAGTTAATATTTTATTATTAGTGTGGATATGTTTGCTTACCCTGATAAAACCAAATTAATAAAAGCTACATTTAAACTAAAACCCACATTTCTTTCACTGTGTCAGTCGGACAAACGTTACTGTTGAGCGACACTAAAGCTTTCTTACTGAAACGAGTATTGAAAAAATAAACTTAGTTCGGTTGAGTTTGTCTCTTAACTTTCTTTGACGAACTTCAACAGTTTGCTCAATCCAGCCCCAAAAACTCAGCATTTAAACGGTTACGCCTCCTTGGGTGTGAGTTTAAAGTAAATGAAGCATCAGATTTTAAGTTGAGTTTAAAGTTTTGGCGCAACAACACTAAAGTTCATCTCAGTTCAGAATAAACTCTACGACAAGGTTTTACTTGAATGTCTTGTATTAAGTATTAACGTGTGTCGCAACATAATTTAACCTTGATTTAATCAGGTTTGCAATAACTGGTGACACGTTTAGAGTTTTGGTGCAACAGATTCAATCCGAGTTTGCCGTAAAAACCAAACTATTTTACATTTTGGTGTGACATCATTTAAAGTTGCATTGCGAGTTAATCGGCTTTAAATATTTATATTTTTAGGTGCAATCTGGGTAATTTTCTCCAGACTCTTTGAATAAATGTTGCATTTAACGAGGACACGTTTTCACTATTTGATGGTGTAACTCGGACACGCTGTCGGGTTAAAGTTGTCCCAGTTATTGCACCAAATCCATCAAGCTTCTGTGCTTTCAAAGTGACAAAAAAACAACTCAATCGGGTTCAAAACTGATCCAGTTTCGTGGTGGACGTACCTTCGGCCTGTAGAAGACGTTCTGCACAGACAGCATTGACACGATGGTGAGCATCTCCTCACTGCAGCCCAGATGGACGGACATGATGAGCATCTTACAGAGCATCGGCTCCAGAGGAAACTCGGCCATCTGCGGGACGGAAATGTATCATAAATAAACGCTGAAACTAACCAGCCGCGACACAAGTTGTTTAATCCGTAAACATATTTTTCTTCCACCGAGTAAAAGCGTCCTCACCCTCCTCCCCAGTCGGGTGAGCAGACCTTCGTCGTCCAGAGCTCCCAGAGTGTAGAGCTGCTCCATGGCTGTGATCAGAGTCTCCATAGGAGGAGCGTCCATGAAGTCGAAGGACAGGAGGTCGTTGATGCCCATCGCCTGGACGAGGACAAACAAGAAAGTGAGCATCAGTGTGAATGATTTGGATTACAACCTGAAGTTTGATTTTCTGCTCTCTGTGATCTCCACATGCATCTCCCCCGTCACCATTCTTCATCTCAGGCAGCACAAGACGACGTTTTGTGCAGGACAAGAGGAGGAGCGGTACCTTCAGAGACAGCACCGTACTGGCCAAGTTGGTTCTCTGGATCTCAGGGACGTTGGTCGTCAGCATCTCGTCCCTGTAGGCTCTCTCTGTGTACAACCTGTAACACTTCCCAGGTCCGGTTCTGCCGGCGCGACCCGCCCTCTGCTTGGCCTGAGCCTGAAATCAAACAAGTTTCATCTCAAACAAATTCCTCTCTCTCTGCATTCTGTTGCTGCAATACCAAGCAGCCCATAAAGCCAGCGTACCTGTGAGATGGGCGTCACCACCAGCTGGTCGATGCCAGTCTTGGAGTTGTACACTTTCTGCTTGACGAAGCCGGGGTCCACCACATAGTAGATTCCATCGATGGTCAGAGACGTCTCTGCGATGTTTGTGGCAATGACGACCTGGAGAAACAAGCAGAAGGCTTTTAAAATTGAAGCATTACTGGTCATTAACATGTATTCTTGACCACTTCAGCTGCCACATTGCTTTAAAATGACGTAAAAAACATATCGACTCATAAAAACCAATAAAAATGCAACTGGTGACTAGAAACCACATGTTTTGTGGGACCTTCTAGCCAAAACACATACTGTTTATAAAAGTAGTACAGAAAGATCATCACTTCCTGGTATATAGTGCTTCACACAAACACCATACATAGATGCAGATATTGTTCAGAGCCATTTAAACACAATAAAACTTAAAGAGCAACTTGCAGGTTAAAGCGAATATCTCCTGTAAATTGTTGTTTTTTTTTGGAGCACAGCTTTTAAAAAACACCTTTTTTGGTCTCTGCCTGAGCACACAAGGTGGTGAGGAGTCTGACACACTGTGAAATGCAAAGTTTGTGGTTTTTGCTAATGAATTATTTTTGTTTGTGCAGGTTGCACAAACTCCAGCCCGTCAGAGCATCGAGTCCACACTTCCCTTAACTCCAGAGCTGCTTTCATGCCTGGCTGAGTTTGTGAGGCTTCGCTGCTGCATTCTGGACCGGAGGGATTATGTTCCCAGAAATTCGATAGAGTTGCAAATTGGACGTCTAATCCGGGACGCGTGAGGCCGACTGCTGCTGCGGTTCCAGCAGTTTCAGCTTCACCAGCAGCAGCAGCAGCAGCAGCGGACACAGATCCGTTAGAGATTCAGCTCTACGAAGATGCAAACTGTGCACTTCAAGTCTTGCAAACTTCTGAAACAGTCAGCTTCCTTCCACCATTTTCTCATGTGGCACCGTGAAATGTAGCGCCGATTCATCGAGCAAGATAAGACCGACACCAACCGGTCTTTGTCTACAAGTGTCTGCTACAGTAGGTATCACTACCTCAGTATTTAAAAGCCAGAACTCGTTGTGCTGCATCCGAATACGTGACCGCAAACTTTACAGAGACGCAGCAAGACAACATTTATTAACCGTTAGTCACCTGCTCTGCTCTCCACTGATTCTCCTCACACCACTAATTATTTCCTGACTTCCTCAGCATCAAAACAACTGCTACAATCTATGTTTTTTATTGTTAAACTGGACATAGTTTGGCTGCTCTCCTCCTTGTGACGTCACAGTCAAGTTCAGTATTTTGAACATGCTCCTGGTCACATTTTCTCCCTTCAAAAAACCAAGTTTCTGCTTCATTTTCCTGCGCTTTAATTCCCTGGAGTTACCGCCCTGCAAGCTGCTCTTTAGCTGACCAACACGTCCACCGTTGCGTGAAGGCACCTTTCTGCTGCCGGGGGGTGCAGGGTCGAAGATCCTGGTCTGCATCTCGCTGGGCAGAGCGGAATAAACCGGCAGAATGATCAGCTCGGGGACGTCGGGCCCCAGCGACTTCATCCTCTCGTACAGGATCTCGCAGGCGGTGTCGATCTCCTCCTGACCGGTTAAAAACACCAGAATGTCACCTGGAGTAAAGAGAGAAGAGGCAAGAAGGTTAGCATGGACTGATGTAGGAGGCTGCGTGTGGGGGGAAAAAAAACACCTGCAGTTACATATTTTACTCAAACCTGAGCAGTGTGTACATTAAAAAAAAAAAGGTCTGCACAGGATCAACTTCTTCTACATTTACAAGAATCTGTGCAATATCAGTAGTTCTTGTATCTGTACTTTTTAAACAACGGAAGAATCATTGGAGTAAATTTTTATTTTCCACATCTGAAAGAATCTTTTCGCCACAATGTACACTTTCCACAAATGGAAGAATCTGCCCGATAAACACAGGACTTGTGTAAAGTAATTTCTTGTCTATTTATCTGATGATGTTCCCTAAACATTTGCACTCTCCTCTCTGCTGCTTTAACACTGCACGTCCTCTTATCTTTGTTTAAAGATGAACAAAATGTCACACCTGGAGGCTCGGTCAGATGGATCTGCATGACGGTGATGAGGCTGGCGTCCAGGTAGTCCGTCTCAGGTTCTTTGGTGTACAGAACCTCCACCGGATACGTTCTGCCCGGGATGGTGAAAATGGGCGCTTCGTAGAAATACTGAGAGAACTTGACGGCGTCCAACGTGGCCGACGTCACGATCAGCTTCATGTCCGTGCGCTTCTGGACGGTCTGAGAAAAAAGACAAAATCTCTTAAAATACTGAAACGGAAAATGAAGACGGGAAGCCTCAGCTCTGCCTTTCGTACCTTCTTGAGGAGGCCAAACAGAACGTCGGTGTGGATCGTCCTCTCGTGGGCTTCATCCAGCATGATGATGGCGTACTGGCCCAGCTCCGAGTCGATCAGACACTCTCTCAGCAGCATACCGTCCGTCATGTACTTGATCACCGTCTCGGGACTGGTGCAGTCCTCAAAACGGATGGTGTAGCCCACCTGGATAAGGCAAGGTGACGAGGTTTAACAAAGCTGCACTGTGACAACGACACACTGTATTTAAACACGTCCTGGAAGTGCGATCAATCACCTCCTGTCCCAGACAACAACCGTACTCCTCAGACACTCTCTTGGCCACCGACATGGCGGCAACACGACGAGGCTGCGTGCAGCCGATCTTCCCCCTGGTGGTGTAGCCGGCCTCGGCCAAGTACTGGGTGATCTGCGTGGTTTTACCAGAACCGGTTTCTCCGATGACGATCAGGATCTGGTTGTCATGAACAGCCTGCGACAAGTGAACAGAGACAGAAAATGTTTAAAAGTCAGTTAAAAATGACCCACTTCTGACGCCGCGATAGCTCAACTGGTTGAGCTGGCGACCCATGACCAGGGGCTACAGTCCCCGACGCAGCGGCCATGGGTTCGAATCCCGCTCATGGCCTTTTCCTGCAAGTCCTTCCCCCATTCTCTCCCTATCGACTGTCATATCCAGTAAACGCAAAAAACAAAAAGTCAAACAAAACTAAAAAAACTTTACAAATCACCCACTTCCAGCAGCTGCATCAAGGCAGCGGCATTTCTCCTTCAGACATGTCTGTAGGGAGTGTTTTGATCTCACACTTCATCAGCACGAGAACAGAGACAATTTAAAAAAACACACTAAAATGAAGACAGAGGCTGAACTCTGCTAATTTACATTTGGCAGATGTTTCTATTCGATGAATCTAAAAAAGAAAAGAAAAAAAACGCAAATGAGCTTAAACATTAACATCTGCTTGTTAAAGGATAATCACATTTTCAAAAGAACCTCGTCAGAGTCAATTAGAAAAAGGGAGAACCGACACTTTGGTAACGAGTTGATGTCAAAACTCTACAAAAAAACGTGTTTTTCTTCAGCACAGAGCAAACGAGCGTAGCTTCAGGTTCTGGAGTTGATGGACGATAACGAATGGAACGATGGCAACAACTGGTCTAGTGTAGAAAAAGAAAAACCTACCATAATTTCCGGACTATAAGCCGCTACTTTTTTCACACGCTTTGAACGCTGCGGCTTAAACAATGATACGGTTGATTTATGGATTTTTACGAATTTGCCTCGAGACCAAATTGACATTGAGAGCAAAAGAGAGACTGAGGAAGTGATGAAGTGATTCTGAGGCTGTTCAACTCCTGAAAACACTGAAGAAGACGACTTTAGTGGTTTTAGTGCAGGAGGAAGATGAAGATAGCGATCAATGACTTTTCCTGGAAGGCTGCTGTAGGTTTTATTTTCTTAACCAGCCGTGTTACAGGAACTGTTCAGAAAAAAAGCATTTATGTATTTGTGTACGTCACCGGTACGGATTTAATTAAAGGTCAACAAAATCTTTCTTCTCATATTATAACGTGGACACCTGCAGCTCATAGACGAGTGCAACCTGTACATTTAGACATTTAAAAAAATCTTTTTACAGTTAGTGGGTGGGGCTTATTATCAGGTGTGCTCAATAATTCAAAACTTACGGTATAGTTGTGCCTGAAGATTTTTAGTGTTTCAGACGAACAGATGAAACACCTCAAACTTATCTAAGTAGCTCAGAGACGTAGACAGAACTCAAGCTGAGAGTTTGAGGTACCAAAGAGCCCATCATGCATGTTTACAGGTTTATAAATTAGTTTTTGGGGTCTACCAGAATATATTTGAATGCTCGCTGCAGCACTTCTGCCAGAGACGAACAATTAATCAATTCCAAATCAAAATTTAACAAAAATAATGCAGTAATCAAAACATAAATAAAGCCCTAAACCCTACATGCCCTGTGTTCGGGTTTGTCGTAGTTCTATTAGTTAAGATAATGCGCATTAACTTAGATCATTGATTATTCTGGTACTAAATCTGGCATTGAGATTAGTGAGATTTTAGTGGTTTTGGTGCCAACAACCACATTTCTGGTAGTGTTACATCCCTGTGTTGTTGTTAAGTTTCATATTTAATCGTAAATGGACCTGAATGAGCTGCTCCTTCAGCTTGTAGATGGGCAGACTCTCCCTCTGCTCCAGGATGGAGAGCTGCGTCTTCTTTCCATAGGACGCCTTGTTGCCTCCGAAGGCGTGTTTCTTCCACTCTGGGATGTCGTTAGGCATCATGCCAATGCCCCTCATGTTGGCAGCGATCTGCCTCCCGTCGGCTGCAACAGAGGAGCGGAAATATGCTCAATAACAAAGGAAAAAAAAAACTCTTCATAAAAAATCTCATCACATAAATAGCGACGTCACAGCCAGCTCTGCGGGGTTACGGCAGCACAGCGCCCACCCATGGATGGCGTCTAGACCACCTCAGGGCCAAGGAGGCACACTGAACCATGGAAAGACTTTTCCATCCGGCCAGATGGGGGGCTGCAGGAAGCCAGATAACCATCACCAGGACTGAGCCTGAGGGGTGCTGTCTGCCAGCATGGAGGAAGTCTGACTCAAACTGGGCTGTGGTTTTGATAAAGCAGCGCGCAGGCGGCGTAGCAAAAATTAATTCTGATATTTAAAGTTCAACAGCCAAAAGCAAGAAAAAAAAAAAAGAAGTGAGTTCAAGATAATCAACATGCTAATTTCCAGCTGGCAGATGTTTTTATGTTTCACACACTGATGTTACGTCAACATCTGCAGCTCGGTGAGTCTCTTAACGAGCTCGTCCAATAGATTTCTCACCGTCTGGTAGCGGGTCGACCCAGTGTTTGTTCAGGCCCATGGGGATGGAGTCCATTTCCGCCTCACGTGCCGCCTGCTTCAGCTCTCGTCTCTCCTTGGCCAAGGCGCTCTGCATCATGGCTGCCTGGGACAGCGAGCCATCTGGATTCTGTGGAGAGCGCGGGGGAAGTGGATTGCTCATTAAGTGTTAAGACTGGAATCCAAATTAAAGCGCACACCGCTGTGGTCTAATTAAAAGATCACCACCCGAAGCAACGCTGTCGACGGTGCGACGCTGGCACTCTACGCTCAAGTGGAATATCTGCAGGGAATACTTCACTGTGTAACCTTTAAATGTAATACAATTCCCAGCAAACATAATTACCTGAACAATACATACGTCTGTTTTTCATTTACTAGATTATATAACATGCTGAAATACACTTTACCTTGACAATCTTGACGGGGCTCATGTCCATGCTCTGTTTGGTGTGTCCTCTCAGGAACGGCGGCTCTTCTTCCACCAGCTCGATTTCCAAATCTTCATCTGCACGAAACAAACAAAAAATGATCAGTCATCTCGCAGATTTGCTATTAGCATCTATTTTGGGAGGGATGTAAGAAAACGGTTTGCGTGAGACTGTTTTCAGAGCACGTTTATAAAGTTAACAGCACAGACGACGGTACGTATTTAACTGCAGGAATCCACCGTCGTGAAGGTGAATTCATTTAATTTAACTTCTGCATTAAACACTGATTTGATGTAGCACTCTTTCGCCGGCCAAACAACTTTCCTCTGGGTCGTTCTTTACTCTCTGAATGACGCCACACTTTGGATTTCCTGCCAGACAACTACGATCTAATAATGAACAACAACAGGAAACTCCTGCAATTTATTATTTTATTCATACCTGCTACTGTTTATTTTGACCTACAACAATTCAGCTTCATCAAAATCCCTCTACTTGTCACTCCTCCCACATTTTAACACCTACTTAGCAATTATTCTAATTCTGACAGCAGGGAGCAACCGTGTGATGGTTTAACCGGGACTGTTTTCACTTTCTGTGGAGTTTGAGTTTTATTTTTTCTGCTCACATCCCAAAAAACATCAAAAACCTTGTTGACTTAAGAGTCTCCTTAGAAGCCAACGTAGTGAGCGGTCACTACAAAAATGGTACAGTTTGGTTTTTCACCACTAACTTACTAAATATCTAAGAAGTTGTCAAACCAAACACTAAAAATAATCCCCTGGTGAAACAATTTCAGCTTCAGCATGTCTTTCGCTATTAGAGCCTTAGTAGCCTGATGGGAAGATAAAACAACTTCTTACCTTCTTCATCATCGACTTTTGGAAGGATTCCCGTCTCATCATCAAAATCAGGGAACTCTTCTTTGGAGAGCACATTGGCAGCGATCATCTGAGAGAAGACGAACAGCGTGAGTACAGCAGAACAAACATTTTCAAGGATTCAAAAAAAAGAGTGTTCTGCCACTTGTGAATGCGTCCCCACCTGTTTGATCTCCCACTTCTCAGGGTCGGAGATCTTGGTGAGCCTCTTGCGCTCCAGGGTGTCGTCCTGCTCCAGCTCGGGGGCGTGGCCCAGGTTCAGGTTGCTCGGCCGGTCGGGGTTCCTCATGGAGATTTCCTCACCTCCGTCCGGGCCCACGTTCCTCCTCCTGTTGGGGTTCAGGTCTTCTCCTGTCTCCTGGTCCACGTCCTGG